AAAATCTATGCTAATTAAGATCAGATATGCAAACACCGTCACGGTCATGATTTCCTTTGTTCAAACTTGATGAATTATTAATGAGTTTGAGAAGTAAATACCCTCATGGTAGTACTGTGCAGCTCTGTCGTGGATTCGAATCTTCCCTGTGAGGCAAAGATCACCTTCTCTTTCTGTTCGGTGGTAGCAGAAAGGTCTTTCTCACCGAACAGAAAGAGAAGGAAAGCTCTGTCTCGCAGGGTAGTTAGAAGGCCCGGTGCAGCCTCGAATATTTTTTCGGGCTTAACTTTTGATTGCTCAAATTGCGACTGTTTGCATGATAACCTCAATTTATTGGGGCAGGGAGAGGGGAAAATTTGGCTGTCATTTACACTGAAACGTGAGACGAATTTATCTCTCTAGACTCTCACATTCATAGCGGTTTTCTGGTTGATGGACTGGAACAAATATGCAAAAAAGGTAAGTCAAATCAATAAAATTAAATTAAGAACTGTTAGACGTTAAAAAAGAAACATTCTTCTTTATCAAGCTTCAATATTTTCTGCAATCCAAAAGTTCAGTAGATTTATTTGATAATTTCCTTCCCAGGCCCGGCATGGGTTAGCCCGCCAACGACCAACGTCACTTCTCAGCTGGAGTACTGGGTACGAACGAGGAGACGATGAGAGTAAGCTACTTCCAGTTCTTGTGGAGGGGGAGGGTGGGGAAATAGATAAAAATTGAACCATAGCTGAAAGGCAAATCCGTCGTACTCTTCTAGTTATACTTTTCTTGTTCACACTTTGCTGCAGATCTTGTAGTTACCTGGCTGTCTAGAACCTCGTCGCTATTTTCAGTGAATACGAATTCGTTGCGAGAGTTCACCAATCCACCCGACCCTGTCATGTCCTGGATCTACCACTCATCCTCTCTACTGAGCCTCAATACCACTCCACTTAGGGACATGAACAGGGACCACCAACATGTCCTTCTCGAGGAAGGACCCTCTGGGAGCGATCGTCACGACCATGCCAGGAAGCAACTTGGTATCTATGGAAACAAAATGACGTCACAAGAGAAGCGCTCTTTAATTCTACGTCGCGTCGTGTGGTTGACTCTTGCAGTGGTGGTGTTAGTTTCAGCGATAGTTGTGCGAGTTAGTTTTCCCTTGCATGAGGAAGGAGAATCAGTCATGTTTTCAGCTGGGAACATGACTGAGTTGTTGACAAATTCAACATACGCTTGAACTGAGAAACAAATACACTATTATATTGCAATTAAGCAGTGAAAAAGGACTTGCCTAAAGTACAGCGCTGCTGTGACATAGCCAGCTGATTGTAGACAGTTTTCTGGCTGTTTTCCTCTTCCTTTGTGCTTTTTGCTGATGTCGCAATCACTTCTCGAACAACAATCCCGAAGTGATGAGATTTTAAACGAGATTAAGAATTCCGCGAAATCAAGGAATATTTACCACTGGGTGATTCAAATATCCATTAGATAAGATAGCTAACAGGTAGTGGAAAAAAATCATTTGCCGAGGAAAGTTGCCAGTTGAGTTAGATTAGAGATTTTTATATTGCGTTTGGAAAGATGCACGTACGAAGGAGTAATATTTGTAGTTAATTAAGATAATTTAAATTAATACTTGTACTAAGCGACTGATTACAGATAACGAACTGAAAATCAGAAGAGTCTCATTTCTCGGCGTGTTAACAGATGCAGAGTAAATTATTTTTTGTTTGGTTGGAACGTGACCGCGCTTCGCCGATATGGCGATATGTGCTTGCGTAAGAGTATTGGAAACAGTAACCAAATCAACACGATGAGATCAACCATAGTTTTCTTTTCCGTGGATTATATTAAGAATATCAAGTATTGGTATAAATCCACTAGCGTTATATCACGAAAGCAGTTCTTTTATTGGCTAAGCAGCTCTAAGCTACTCACCTTCTATTCTGTGATAGATAGTTTTTCCTCAAAAGTGTTCCCCAGATTCAGTGCATGCTCATCCCCCATTTGCAAGCTACATGCATCATCATTTAAGACCAAAGTACTGGTATATACTAAGTATATAAACGATCACTTTTGGCGCTTGTATATGCGGGGTGGTATTTTAAACCCTCAAGGGGCCCAACCAAACTGGCTAAAATTCTGCTTATTAGAAATTCCCATTTCCTGGTGGAGACCACGTTTGTGAATATGCAGAGTCTGAGGAATCACAATTTAAGAGCCTTCAGAAAGACCTTCTTCGTAGGTAAAACAGTCACGAGCATAATTACGCTATATTAAACTAGTAATTAGCGGCCAGAGTCCAGGACGATTCAGCATTCTTGGCATGGCCTCTCATCGAAACGGAAAATTTGAAACTACAATTAGTTTATCTTTGAAGGTCAAAACGATTATTCTCTATGTGAAGGCTGGGCGCTTGAGATAAGCTAAACGTGCTTAGATGTTGTCATCGTTAAATCAATGTCCATGTTTGCTGGGCTGAACTTTCCTATATAAAGCAAAGTTCGCTTCTAAGTGGACAAATCGCCTGTCGGTCGGAACAGTCTACCCCTTTAGCTTTGGAAGACAGACGCTGACAGCGTTCAAACGTCATGATGATGTACTTGGTTCTTTGCTTGAATTTGCTGGTGATTCTTCAGCTGCAGTTGATCTCCAGCGCTAAAGGAAAGGGTCCACCCGGTCCGGTATGTATCGTACTGTAAACCAGATAATGAGCTTGTCTGAGTTAGCATGTGCATTATGGAGGGTTTCAGGATGGCACAGTGCTGGAATCTTAGTCATCGATTTCTCAGCTCTCCGTTCACAATTCAGCCCATGCTTCAGCTGTATAAGTAAATTTTGCTGATTTCAGCTCACAGCTATCATTTTAAACAGAGCGTCAATTTTAGCTCACATCAGGAGCTCCTGCTGAAATTTAGAATTTTGACCAATTCTCAGCTTATTGATCAAAGCGTAGCTATATTGAATTTTCTTTCAGCCAAAACCAACCACTGGCGATCACAAATTGGCATGGCGCCTTGTCCGCATTCACTCCTCGGTCGGGTTGCATGATTCTGCATGATTCCCGGCCGAAGCACGTAACCCCACAGTGATTGTGTACCCATCTAAAATTTGTGTTAATACATCCGTAGACATGGCTGGCTGCTCTTTTTAACTCTCTAGTTATTTCAGGTAGCCAGGCTCCTAAATCTGGTAGCATATAACTTCGTAAAAAATACTTTTCAGTGTTAAGCTGACAAGGAATAAAGCTTGTTGTTGTTGTTGCAATGCAACAGATTGCAACATCGATCAATATCAGCTAATATCAGCCGCACAAAACATGTCTTTTCCAGTTTGGGCGTGCACCTTGTTGCAGCTGCCATATATTGCAAGATGTGGAAGAAATAGAAAAACCTAAATGCTTTCGACATAATCAGCGCAACTGTAAAACTGAAGACGCTTTTTATTTTCATTTTAGAATCTTTGTGACACTTGCGGATGTGTTCCCGGTACCCCAGGGATCCCAGGCAACCACGGAACACCGGGAAATCCAGGGACCCCTGGAAATCATGGCTTACCCGGACCAATCGGCAAAACTGGTTTAACGGGAAAGAAGGGGGAACCTGGAATTCCGGGACCACCTGGCCTGCCCGGGCTATCAAACTGGAAACAGTGTGCCTGGAAGAACGTAAACAGCGACCTGGACAACGGAAAAATATCTGTAAGTGCGGTTCACATATTTTTACATGTACAGTAAGTGTGTGCCGTCAAGCACTCGCCAATGTGAGATTATTTGCTACTGGATTTACACTGAATTTTTATTCATCCCACCTTCTCGTTCCTGTTACAACCCTCTAAACAATTTGCTTGTTTTCTTTTCTTGTCAAATTGCTTTTTACGTTGCTCTTTGATTAGCATGGCTGTAAGATGAAACCGCTAAATTAAAGAATTCAGCGGGGTTTCGAAAAACTATGCATTGAATGATTTAGAAGGTCTGTTTGTGGATGCGGATCTGATGTCAGATTTCTCAGCTATCAGTAAATTAAGTTTGCAGATCTAAGATCTCAGCTTTTAGTTAAAAAAAAGACCCGCATCATTTCTCAACCGACAGTTAAGTTATTTCGTCCATCTCGATTTAGGGTTAAGCATTAACTCCTTTTCAAAATCGCGAAATTCAGCTTCCGACAAAATTTTTTATAAGGTTAAGGAAAATCAATATTTAGTACAAATAATCTAGTAGGGTTCTATCACGAATGCCGTTCTCTGATTAGCTACGCTACTCACTATCTACTCTGTGATAGATAGTGAGTAGCGTAGCAGAAGGCCCTTGTTAACGAATTGACGGCCGCTTCTTGGCGTTTTTGAAGTGTCTGTGAAGAGCCGATTAAGATAAAGCTTTGAACGACAAGTAGATTTGTACTAAAACAGTTAGATTATTCGCTCTCAATTTCTATGCATGATAGTTGACTCGGGCTGCGCCCTCGTCAACTATCATGCGATAGAAATCTCGAGCTCATAATCTAACTGTATAGTAGATACGCGTTTGTCACAATTCAAATTCAGATAGTGAGCAGCCTAGCAGCGTACGGTTATTAAGAAAATGTCGGCCGCTTCTTTACCTTTTTGAATTAAGTGTCTGTGAGGAGGATTTTGTTTAAGTTTTGTATGACTATAGTAGATTAATTCTAAAATAATTAGATTATTCGATCTCGATTTCTATATGCGTGAAAACTGACCCGGGCTGTTAAATATGTTTTTGTTTTTAATTTCTACCAGGAGTGCTCATTTATCAAAAAGAACAGCAATACCCACCTCCGGGTTGTCTATCAGGGAAACATGCGGGTTATTACGAGCGGTACTTGCAGCCGGTGGTTCCTTACGTTCAACGGTGCAGAGTGCTCCATGCCAATTGACACTGCGGTTTACTCTGGCGGAGCGTGGAACATCATTCGTACAGCCACCATTGAGGGCTACTGCTCAGGAATCTCTAAGGGCTCTGTGAATGTGGCGCTCAACGTGGGACCCTGCGGTGGTGGGTACTCTCCGGGAAATGCGTACACAGGCTGGAACTCGGTCAGTCGGATCATCGTGGAAGAAGTGGAACCACCCCAGTAAACTCAACATGAGAATCTCTTCGCGTGTTTTTGGAAGACGTTTGCGCTTGTGTGTGTACTTGTAGATTAGTAATGATGCAATAAACACAGTCGAGAAGAGATACAAAAAGTGAAAAGGTAGTGTGCTCTGAGTGCATTCTTTTCCGTTGCAGAAGTCGAACGGATCTCTGTATTCAGGGTGGGGGGAAAGGGTTGGGGGGGGGGGGTAGGGGGTGATGTTCTAATAGCCAATTACTTAAAGGTACCTCTTACCTAAAATACTGCAAGGTCGACGCGATACGCTCAAGTGTCCCGCAAAAGAAAGCTAGTCGGCTTTTTTTATTGGTCCCACAAGCAGTGAAAATCAACCCGGATTGTTGTTCGGGTGATGTGTTGATCTAGGGGTGACAAAGCAAAAAAAAATAAAAAATAAAAAATAATAATAATAATAATAAGTTGTGGGCACTTAATCAGTTCTCAGTCATAAGATATTACAAAATCTACAAAATGTATGGGTTATTGACCAAGTGTGAGGTCAAGATGCCTGGATATTGGCCAAGTTCTTTTTTTGCGTGTTTATGGACCGAGACGGAGTCGAGGTCCATAAATTCGCAAAAAAAGAACNTAGTCCCGAGCGGGCAAGAAAGCTCCATCTTGCCCGCTCGGGTAGCCAATCACAGCGCAGGATTTGATTCATCTTGCCCGCTCACGGATCTAGCCATATAATAAAGCCGTTTAAAAACTTACTTTGAAACCTAGTAGTTATTCCCATACAGTAAATTTGAAAGTGTATAATGGAAGGCTTAGAATGTCAGTGATCTTTGAACTGAAAGCTACTAAACGATCGAGTCGAACAAAACTCAGCGAATTTTGTTCACTGATAATTCGACGTTTAACTAAATTAAGTTGTCCGACTGAATTTGGATCGACCCAAATTGCAATTTAGATCGTCTTTAGTTCGTCTCATGTGAGGTTCGACATTTGTTAAACAGCTGAACAACTGGCAAATATTTTTTCCCTTACGTCACTTTTCTGCAACCACTGGAAATATGCTCTCACAGAGAAGCAATTTGATAGGGGATTCCCAACAGGGATTGCCTTGTATCTGAGAAATTGTGGTTCGGGTATAAAAATGAAAACGTCCTCTCTAAGGCCAAGTTCAGACGCCGTACTTCACATGAGCCGAATCGAGTGCAAATGAGAAAAATCCTTTGTTATCCCTCATTAGCATTCGATTCGGCTCATGTGAAGTACGGCGTCTGAACTTGACCTAAGCATCAGGAAGCTGGCCATAGCGTGAAATCTTTGACGCTCTTTGGAAAAACGTCTTTCTAAAAACACGAAATAGTAAGATCAGGGATGCTCTCATTTCAGCCGTGAATTAAGTATATTACATTTTACAGTCTACTTTTCTTCCCTGACGCCGGCGTTTCATAAACAAAAACTCCCACCATAGCTTTTTACAATATTAGACTTCAAGGCGGATGTGTTTGACTGACAAGTTTGATCGATTAGTGTACGAAAGAATTCCTTCTGCATTAATTCTCTCGTATACAATACTAATACCTAGAGAAGCTCAACTGACTACCACCTAAAAGTTAAGTTGTACATTTTATCATTTTTTCACCAAGATAGCTTTATGAAATGGCATACAAAGCTTATTTTTTTTGTTAGGAAGCTTTGGTATTGCCGACTGACTGCTTATTCGTTTAGATTTAAGGTGAAGTAAATGGCGTAAATTTTAGCCTGCTTGAACTGCAAGGCGGCCATCGTTTTTCAGTATGAGAAACAAACAGCGACTAAAAGAAAACAAAAATTGTACAGGCTTAATTTTGAAATGATTTAAAATTCACTACATCAAATACAGGACTGTAAACAGACGTTTTCACCTCTGCGTTTTCGTAAAGATTTAATTTCACTGGAAGATCATGTCAACAGTTATTCATTTGGTTCTTTGCTTGAATTTCCTGGTGATTCTACCGCCGCAGTTAATCCACAGCGCTACAATAAAGGAACTGCAAGACTTGGTAGGTATCAGTAGATTTAGGACTGAACTAAGCATACACGAGAAACTCAGTCTAGAATTTCAATAAAGTCTTATCTCGCGTTGTCACAGTTCTAACATCTAAACCATTCTGTTTTTAGAAATGTTTAGCTTGTAGCGACATACCTTACACTGGGAGAAATAAAGGGCAAATATCACTAGTACCTGACCAGGTCACCAAACCTGGTCGGGTTGGGAACAAAGTATTTTCCTGCAAGGGTCTCCAAGCCGGAGAACTCTCCTGCAATTCATATTGCTCATTAACTTTCCCCGCTAGAGGGTATGTTTCGAAGATTCTCAGTAACTCGTGCTATAACTGAGTGCTTTAATGTTTGTGACGCACCGTTACGACCTTGTTGCATGTACGCAATTTATATTTTGTTCTTCAAGGAGGACTAGCCGATTTAGTTTCATTAGTGCGGTGGATTTTAAAACTAGAGGTCCCTAGTTTATATCTATCATCTTCAGGTCTCTAACTGACCTAACTGGATTTGATAGTTCCTACACGCACTCAACTCGATGGTCTCGCTTTGTTTATAAGTAGGCAAGTGTTCAGCCTCCGATTAGATGGGATGCTTTACATTTATGTATCATGAATAAGTGAACTCTTTCATCGTTTTCAGGATCTATTCAGTTGTGTTCAAATTTGCGACAGCAATGCTAAAATCCACCGACCACTACTGAACTTGTTTTTGTTTGAAGTCTTTACTTTTTTTTGGCTACCCTACAGCTCTAAAATAATTTTTTTTTTTTCGATCAAGGACGAAAGGACAACGATCGAAAAGTACAGAAGCGAGAGGGCGTTAAACTGGAAACAGTGTTCTTGGACAAGGCTAAACAGCGACGTGGACAACGGAAAAATATGTGTAAGAACGATTTATTACACGACTGTGGGAAGAGAGTGTTTCGAAACGAAATTTTGTTAGATGTAGGTTTAGTTTCTTTTTTTTTCTTTTGGCATCATGAAAAACTTCGGCTGATTCTACAACATGCTAGACTTGATTTTCCAGCCCTTTTGTGGTGCGGTCGTCCCCCTCCCCGCCATGATCAAGCTCATCTAAAAGGGCTGAAA